ATCGCCACTGGAAGCAAGGATCCTGACCGGTTTGGTTTCTCTTTTTTCTTTGAAGTACTAGAAGGTTCGAGCAAATGAGGTGAATAAGGTATTTTCAGATAGGTTAAATCTATTTATTTGGTGGGTTTTCGGTTACGGGTTACGGGTCAATAAGATTTGAGAGTGCGTTTGTGTTTGGGGCTAATAAATTAGTGGAAGTCCCAATTAGCAGCTGAGTTGGCAGCTGACTTGGCAAAAAGAGATAGGGTCAGCTGCCACTTGGACGGGGCATTAGGGCTAGGGGTAATTGCATAAACTTTATTAACGATAAGGTGGAGATTGAACGTAAAGTGTAACGGGGGCGAACGTGCATGAATTTCAAAAGTACAGGGGCAATAATGCTTTTTTCCCTTTATTTTACCGTTGAAGCTCTTTGTAATAGTTTTGTTAGTTACCATATCTTTTGAATTAAAATAAACGTATTTTATAACATGATATGAAAAAATAATTCCAAAAAAACTTAATTGTTATAAAGTATTGTTATAAAGAATGACTATTATATAAAGGCTTGCCAATGATTTCATATTGGTTTTTACAAAGAATGAGTGATTATATTATTTATTTCACAACAAAAGAACCTTCAACTTAAGGAATAATTAGTTAAATTATTTGCTTCATGAAGACTCCATTTTAACTCTCAACCCGAAGAATAATTGGTTAGATCATTTGCTTTACCGTGGAAGAATCCCTTTCAAGGAAACTCTCATTCTCTATTTTCAAGGTTGGACTTGACACATGTGATCATAAATTGAAAGATACTACCCTCCATACAGAATTTGGTGGTAGAAATGTTAGTTAACTCATCTTTAAGGTAGAATAATTGGAATTGAAGATAGGATAACTTTAAAAATTACATGAACTAGGAACTGATAATTCAAATGGCAAAATAAACATTGTTTGGGATAAGAGAGAAAGAATATCTGTAATCTTAAGTTGAATAGAAAATTCATTTTTAAGGCAGAATAATTGAAAAAAGAAATGATTTATTTTTGTATAGTCATATGGTGTTCACAAAATGGAATATAAGAGATATTTGAGTTAGACGTAATTTGTTTGCCCTTTTCTGAGATAAACTCTCATCATAAGTCAAAAGGGTAAAATAAGTTCACAAAATAATCTTGAATTTATATTGCAAGGTTCCATTAAATCTTTTCTGATCTTTTCTTATTTAAGGATATCAATCTTCTTCCAAAATTCATGATTTTAGTTCTGGTTATAAAACAATAAAAGAAGAAGAGTATTACAGAGAAAAGTAGGAAGAAAGAATTCTTATTGATTTGTGATGTTTTACAATGGAATAGAATCCCTCTATTTATATGAAAAAAGTGACTTAGCCACCAAGTAAAATCCATACAATCTCTCTAAAATATAGACATTCACTTTTAATAGAATTCTATTTATAACACTCCCCCTTGAATGTCTATTCAATAGATAATGTGCCTCGTTAAAACCTTGACTAAAATAAAACTCAGTGGAAAAAAGTTTCTAGTAAAGAAAAAAGAGTACACATATCTAACAATACGCCTTTTGGTTGCCTCGTTAAAAACCTTGCAAGGAAAATCCAGTGGGACAAAACCTTGTAAGGGAAAAAGAGTACAACGCGTATTAACTCCCCCTGATGAGAGCATCAATTCACATCCTTGAGCCTTCACATTCCAATCTTGTGCGCTAGCTTCTTGAAGGTTGACGTCGGTCGAGATTTGATGAATAAAATATCCATATTAACTCCAATGAATATGTTGCACCTTGAAAATCTTCGCTATCACATTATCATGCTTATAGTTATAGCAAGATATATATGTGCGCAAATAACACTTAGGATATGGTACTTCAGGACAAAGAATTCTATATGCTTTAAGCCATTTGAATCCTTTAGGGATTGTCATAAGTTAAGTCATATAAGTCATATAAATGGACTTTAATTTTACATCAAGTTTTCAGGTTATGCTAGACATATAAGATAGATAAAGGTAATTGCACATACCATTAACTTTATACTTTCAAGTGTTTGAATTATATGTCCAAAACTACATGTCTTTCATATGAAACTAATTATATTCGAATTTTGTCTCTTCCATTTGGCCAATATTTTTGTGTATGTATTCGACAAACTTAAGATCCTCATCTATATTTAGAGCTATCATAGATGTCGTCAACGAACATTTTATATCGGTTCCAACATTTTTTCATAAAGACATGACATAGAGATCTTTTCATTCATATTTTCAGGTACCTGAATCTCTCTTGAGATTTTATGGAGTATTATGTCATGTGATCTTCTAGATCACTTGCCTCCTTATTATGATCATTTAATCATCTTCTCTATCAAGAATTTTAATTGAAACCGATTTGTCTATACGCTTTAAGTGTACCATAGACTTTGTCCTTCTAGGACTTATTCTAATAGGAGTATTTGCATTGAAATATAGTTACTTTCTTTGGGTCAGCAAATGCGTCTGGCATGCTTTGCAATATATTGCAAATGAATAATTTTTTTATGAACTTGAAGTTCATATTATTTTATTCGAGGATCTAGATGTATAAATAATAATTCATTCCATGTAACTTTTTCTCAACTGTTTATCATGTCTCCTCCTCATGTTAGAAAAACTAACTTGCTTCCTCAACTTTGGAAAATCATCTTTGTGCGTTATGGTGCTAATCAAAATGTACATCGTACATCAATAATAATTAGATGGAATTATTTGGTTCTTGACCCTCAACCACCAGTGAGGGGAGAATGTAGTATACTTTCGTATATAACGTATATCAAAGTGATATAGATAACTTTATTCGCATAAGCAATAGTTTAGCTATTAAGTGGAGGCACTCAATAATTATTTTGCTAAACTAGCTGTGATGTAAACCAACTTATCAAGATAAACTGTCTTGACTAGAAAATATGGAAATTATGCTCGAAATTAAATTACTGAGCAGGTTACCTCGCAAACACCGACTAGGTTGCCGATTAATAATAATCGCTCATGTAACCATCCAATAGATGCATCTTATGTGGTATACATGGCAGTGAATGGGCCGATATTCACTTTAGATATTTCCAGCATTCATGGGATTCAATCCCAATTTTAGTTGGTCTATTAATTAATAAGAACAAGCAACATAAGAGAGAATCCTTAAAGAACTTTCTAGTTCTTTAATATTTACCCATGTGAATTCTCTTTTATTTTTACACATCATACTTAAATTAACATGGCTAAACCAATTGTGCCAACTGAATAAATTATCAATATTGATAAAGTTCAGATTTACGCCATGATGTGTGCAATTATCAATAAACTCCAAGTTTATTATGATATGAGGCTTTTATATCAATAAACATCCACTTTATTGTGGTATTCTTTTATTTGTTTAGTACAAATTGGAGAACAAAGAGGGTAACTTTTCACATACATATTATCCCGCTATAAGTTGTAGTAATAGAAGATATTAAATCTTTCCTTTATTTATAGTCTCAATATAACCAACTGTTTTCGCGAATACTTTAGAAACCCATTTAAGTTTCTTTGAGACTTACTACAACATCATACCTTATTGATAATCAATTTTATTTCTCTAAAGTAGTATAATTGGCTCTTTTAGAGTTTTCAATTAATTTTGTACTACTACATATTCATCAACATCCATATGGTGAATATCTCTTTCAAGGAGAAAGTTATATCATTATGGTGTTGGTCAAAATCATTATAGGCAAGATATGTTGCTTCTATTACTTTTCCCCTGTAATAATCACATTTTCATAATATTTTGGCATAATCACAATAGGTACGTGATCAATGACCATGCATACCATAATAATGAAATTATTTCTTATTTCATATCAAACCTATTTCTAGAGGTGAGTGTGGTATATTTACTATCACTAGCACATTCATATTCTTTCAAGAATGAATATGTATTCGTAAATCACATGCTGTTAAATTCACATCATCAATGGACCATAATCATTTATACGTGCTTTATAAAATCTCGTGTCAAATCAATGACGAATATTACTTTCATAAAGTGAATGATTGTTTTCAGAATCCTTATTGTTCTCATCACCATAATGTTGACGATTATAATTTTATCTATTGCCATGTTTATATCCATTGATACATTCATAGTAATAATTTTGTCTTCTTTCATTCTCTTAAGGGAATGAGAATGAAGCAAATTCAATGAGACGGATTTCCAATTCTTTGCCCCCGACCATACATGAATTTGATGATGGCAAGACATAGAAATTTTACCACTTTGGGTGGTTAGAATTTCTTACAAACTCCATTAGAGTTACAATCAAAATTTATTGTCTTTGCTTGTATTTAAAATCAAATTATAGAATGTCAAGAATTTAAAAGAGAAAAATAAAGTAAAATACTTACTTTAAATCCAGAATTTAATCACGAAGGAAGTTCATGGAACAATTAACAATCATTATGCTCAATCCCAAGGCTTCTACTGAATTGGTTAGTCTCGTGCTGATAATGTGTTACAAAACAATAAAAGAAGAAGAAGAGTGTTACAGAGAAAAGGAGGAAAAGAAAATTCTTATTGATTTGAGATGATTTACAATGGAATAGAACCCCTCTATTTATAGAGAAAAAGTGACTTAGCCACCAAGTAAAATCCATACAATCTCTCTAAAATATAGAGATTCACCTTAAATAAAATTCTATTTATAACCGTTCTTTCTTTTTTTGTTCTATTTTCAATTAGAATGCTCGCGGAAACACTAAAAAGTAGTATTTTTTTTTTCATATACTTAACCTTAGTGACACGTTTGATTAAGACTTTTCTTCTGCTAGTAGATATCAAAACAGTCTAATAATGAAGTTATATGGTACAACATTAAATTCACTGGATTGAATAATTTATTGATCAAGTAACATTTTTCACGTAAAATATGAAGAGTATGTTCCATTCCTTATCACAATGACTCAAAATTTACCATAACTAACAGATATAATAACTCAGGCCAAAATTACTACTAATAAATAAATAAATAAAAAAGCATCCATCTCCAAAACTGTAGTCAATGAGAAATCTGAAAAGAAAAGAAAAGGCAGATTAATCTTGGTTAAGAGTTACCAGAGCTTCGTTCGGAGCTTATTTACTAAATCTCTGTAAACTGTTACTGAAGTTACATTTGAAGCTTATTTATCTGGATGATTGTCTAGATTATCTCCCAATCTGAGTCGCAAAAGACTTCTTCTGACAATTCAAGCTTCTGAATTGGAGAATATTTTGGCTTACTCTCTGTATTTGATTGCTCTGATTCTACACTGAGATCCTCATAAATGGCTGTGTCGTTGTTTCTCTGATTTCCAGGTTTTACTTCTAGCTTTGTCATGTTTTTCTGAAAGCAAAACATAGGTCAAACTCAAAAAAAATCAAAAGAAAGCCAGCCACTATACATCCAATGTTTCATATCCAATGAGCCCCAATCACATTCTCAACCTTGATCTCCAACCAGAAAAATGAATAAATGGCTACACATACAAAGAAATAAGACAAGAAGAAAGTTGACAGGAAGAAGCCCAAACAGATTAGTGAAAAATGAAAAGTGAAATTTCAGGCAAAAAGATAAACTCGGAGGAAAGGAGGGAAGACCTTGTGAGAGATATGAGCTCCATAGAATTCTGAGCACGAAGACAAATCATCCTTATCCACCAGAACACAGTTTCCATCAAATTCCAGTTCAGGGACAGTGCCGATGCCTGGTTTATTTACATGATGATCAACAGACTCTCCTCCTGCATTGTTTATCCATTAGAAAAATAAAACCAAAAGGAGATACAGAAGATCAACAATTTTCTCAACCTTACAAGTTCGTTTTAGGCATGTGAAGCCAGGAATGTGAACTCTAGTTAAGTGTTAAGTCGTCGGCTTAAGCCCCATTAATAGATCCCCTTTTACCTCCCCTACCTTCCATCCACCGAAATAGGCTATTGGATCAAATGAGAAAATCAATTTTCAACACAAACAGCAAAAAGAAGTCAAAAGCAAGAGGAAGTTCCACTGAACACATTGGAGACAGCTTGAATGCTGACTGTTTCACTGACTCCAAATGAGTCAATCGAATAGCAGAGCTAAGACAAAAAAGCATACCATTTGATATTTCTGGAAGTTCTGCACAAGAATTTATTTCATCAAAATCGGGAAAAGCAGAGTCTTGTGATTCAGTAGAGTTAGGTGAACAAGTTAAAGATGGGACATTCGACATGTCAGCTTTAAGATATGTGAAATCTATGGTTTTCCCCACTTGCATAGAAGGGTCAGATTCTTGGCATTTGACTGATGCGATTATCGAAGATTTAGCATGACCTTCAACTCCGTTATCACCCTCATAAGGTAGTGATGTCATGTTTAAAGTTCTCTCAGTAAAAGCAACTACTCCTGAACTTTTACCAGAAGAGAATGCCTTTTCCGAATTATCCTCAACAGACATCTTCATCACCATATCTGCTTGTGGCTGAAGTGAAAAATCAATATGCACTCCTTCAGCAGTATCCGCAGGGAACACGATGGAGGACGAGTTTGAATGGGAAAGTTCCTTCTTATTATCTTCTTCCACAATGATGTTTGACAGCTCAGAAGCTAGAAGCTGTTTCTTTATATTTTCTTCTGAAGATAAATTACTGGTCTCGTCTTCCTTGGCATCTGACAAAGATGCAGGGAATATTTCTTGAATAAACTCTGAACAAAATTGTTTCAGATTTGCACCAGCTATCTGCAATTGGCTTTCGACATAATCTAGTTGTTCCTGCCAACACACAATTAATCAACTATTCTAAAGCATATCAAGGAACATCAAACGTAGGCAGAAAACCTAATTTCACTTTCCAGAACTCAGAAAAAAACCTAGAGGTTCATAGTTTTTACATGATACGTCAATTAATAACAGCTGCAGCTACCCTATTCCATAGATCTGTTATTATTACAGGAAGAGAAGACATATAAAAAAACCAAAGAGCTGGTAATTTGGATGAAATATATGCCTGTGTATTTTGTGGATGTATGTTTATGAGAGCACCAATTATAATGTCCTACAACATGAAGCGCTCTGGGATTCAAATTTGATAACAAGCAAAGGAAAAAAGAAAACAACAAACAAGAAGGAAAGCTAAAACAATTAACAGCCAAAGAAAGAAAATGGCACTTGAGATATATGGTAAGCCGACTAATGATACCTGAGATCTGGCGTCAACTTCCGAACACAGATTTTCCAACTTAGCCCCAACCTTTTCGATCCAGGCTATGCCTTTACTTGTGAAGTTCATTACGAACGTAAATAGTTTAACTTAGAATAGCTGGTACACAAACACAATTCCTGCTCAAAGATGCCAAAAAGAACTCCAATCTTCAACAACAAGCATGAATAATTGTGATATAACGGATGCAAAATAAGACAACTCTTTGTATAATTGAACCACACTGAGAACATGCTAAGCAACTTTCATATGAATCAGAAGTGCATGTGTGGATGAATAAAGTGCTTGGTGTGTTTCCACGCCCCAAGGCACAAACCAGTTAATAGAGAAACAGAAAGTTAGCAATGTGGTGTTGGATTACATTTCAGTTTCAATTTTCTGTCACTAACATGTAGTTGCATTTGAAAGAAAAAAAAAGACGCAACTCTTAGTTCCTCAAAACAAAAGAAGAATTGAAAGATGAGAATCATCTGATATTGGAAAATAAATTCAAGATATGTGAATGCAAGCAAAGGATACAGAGTATAATTTCAAACAGCTGACACCATTATTAAGGTGAATTTATGTGTACTGTGTTTGACAAATGTCCACCAAATAACATAAGTGATCCAACAAAAAAGAATGTTTTTTCCTTCTTCAAATGTTCACTCCTTAGATATACAGCAGGACTTGAGTCTAATTCAGTATAACGTGAGTCTTCTTCTCCATTTATCCAGACTCCCTTGTATGTTTTTCTGTTTTTGAGTCTTTTCTTTTTGTTGGTATTTACTCTTTGTTGAATGCAGTTTCTTATACATAAAAAATTGTTTTTTAATTAATGTGATCACACGTTTTCGTTACCACAAGGCAATGTGTGGCATCAAAGTTAGATTTTTCGTAAACTAGTTTAATAATCTACAATAACATATGGAAAGCATTTTGATTAAAAAAACACACACATCAATTCCTTGAAAAACATGTGCATTGAGACGAATTAAAACATCCCTGGGAAACTCCATAAACAGAATTACGCTATAAAGATTGAATTAGTCCGCAGTCCCCACAGAACAACACGTTTCGAGCAAAATACCTGAAAATCTTATGTGACATTCAGAAGTATGATTAAAGCTTGCAAAAGGCCAAATGGAACTTTAACCCAATTCAATAAACACTTAGAAGAACTTACACTCCCAAAACAAAACACCAAGTACAGATAAAATTGGAACAACAGGATTCTCAATGTTGATCACGAATTAGAGGAAAGAAACAAAACACATCTTAGGCCCTTACCAAGTTTTCTTTTTTCACTTCATGCAACTAATGAAATCCCAAAAAGTTTCTATTTTTACCCAATACATCAAAATTAAACAAATTGTTTCTGACTTTCCCAAATTAGCAATTAATTTAGCACGAACGAAACAGTATACAAGTACTTAAGAGTCATAATAATTCTCTCAAAACAATGATAAAAGTGTCAAATATTCAGTTAAAGGGCAGATGATTAACAACAAAAACAAACTGATCATCATTCTTGAATTAACGTTCATAACTTACAAGTTGGAGACAGGAAACTCTTTCGGGCAAAAGTAAAAGTTTATAGAGAAAACCCAAATAACCTTAAGGACAATAGATTCATATAAAAGGGTGGATACATAATAATGAGAGAAGAAAGGAAGTAAGAAACTGAAGCAAATTGGGAGAGTAAAGAAGAGGAAGTGGTTCAGTAGCCTAATAGGAGTAGGAAGTCATGCAGTAGAAATCTAGTAGGTGCAGGAGTATTCTGTTTCCATGCTCCTAGTTTGTGTGGTTCAACCTTGTACGAAAAGTACGAGGTGAGAGGGCCCGCAGTCTATGGGTCCTACAATTCCAATTTTTACTCACAAATAATACTAGTAATTAACTTTGGAAAAAGAAAAAAAGTAAAAAAACTAAACTTAGTTAGACTTAGATTTGGTTGAAAATTAAAAAAGAATTTTTGAAGTTGTGTTGAAAAATAACCTTTGGAAGTTGAAGTTGTGTTGGAACATGTATTTTGTTTGGAAAAAAAAATTGAAATTTTGTGAGTGGAAGAAAAATTCTCATCCACAACTGCCTTAAGCCAGTTTTGAGAACTAATAAACTTTTTTCGAATATTCCATGAACAAATAATGTTATCAATTTTTTTTTAAAAAGAAATAAACAAAATCTATGGCCAAATGAAAGCTTAGACTCCTATCCTTCTTTTTTGAAAACTGAAAATTCCCGAGGGTCTTGAATTTTCAAATATCTTTTGGAAACAAATTGTTCTCTTGTGCATGAGTATTTGCTTTGAAAATTGGTTAGGGTCAATGACAACCAATAATATAAAGTCAAATTTTAATAAATTATTTTAAATATATTTAATTTAATTTATTTATGTTTTAATTTAAATGAAAGTTCGAGAGAAAATGTAAGAAAAAATAAAAAAGAATAGATAATTCAAGATATTTATATGACCTTGGTGAATGACAAAATAAATAGATGATTATGAAGAATGAAAAGGAAAAAAAAGAACTTGATTATATAAGTCAAATTTGAAAGAATTGAACACCATAATTTTTTTATCCCGTCAGTTACACGCTTAATTATATTCTCTACCTAAAACATGCATAAAACCAATATAATTTTTGGGGAACGTCTAAAATTTTTAACTTTTTGGAGTAAAAGAATAAAGGCGTTTGAATATTCACTCAATGAAATGTTATAGCAAGTATAAATTTGCACTAAAAAGATAAAAGAGAAAAAAAATAAATAGGAAATTAAG